CGGGACGGGTACGGTACGACGACTAGTATATATATATATATATATATATATATATATATATATATCACGGAGCCAACATAGGGATTTGCAGTTTGAGTAAACAATATCTATAGTATCTCCAACCTTGTTTCCTCACTTTTTACACGATCCCCATTTGCAGGTTTGTAACTTCCAAATTTTTTTATTCATCTGGTCGTATCTTGTTTTTCTTTGATATTTGTATTTTCTTTTGATGATTACAACTAATTTGGACCATTTTGTCGAAGGCATTTCAAGTTTATCAATTTTAAAGTTGTATGTCATTTGACTTTTTTTTTAATAAGTTGCAAATCTGTATAACTTTTGTGTGGGATCCCCGTTTAAGGTGTAGAACATTTTTCACAAAATCAACTTTTCTGTAGCTCTATTGCATTATTTTTTTTCTTCCTGTAGTTACTTTTATTGTATGTAAATTACCTGTACATGAACGTCCAAATATGCTTCAAATTCATTTCATGTCTGTAAGTATAAACAATTTGTCAATTATATTCGACTTCGATGTTTGTGTATTTTACTGACAAATCCCCATATGAGGCTATTAGATGGTTGATACTTTTTTATTTACTATTATAATACAAATAATAACGTCATATAAGATTAAAATATTAAATTTCGAATGAAGTGATTACTGACCTAAATATTGTAAACTAGATAGATATCAAAACTTCATGTCCCCCAGATGGCACAGCAGTAAGTTTGAGAACTTATCATGTTATAAAAATAATCTAAAGGCATTACGCCGACTGATCTATATTATAGAAACAAAACGCACATGGTATGTTGTTTCTTAAAACTGACAAGTTCCCTGCCTCTCCAAATGTTACTTTCACCATTTACAAGTATTCATGACTTTGTTCTGAGGCTCTGACATTAGGCCTATGCTATATATCCATAAGTTTTAATTGCAAATTAACAATGTTTTGTGAAAATCATGGAAAGTTGAGCTGTAAAATTTTCTACGCATTTTGTGCCATTATTCTTGTATAGAGACGGTAGTACTGGCACGGTCACCCTCTCGTTCCATTGACTATGCTCCCCAGTGGCACAGCGGTATGTCTGCGGACTTACAACGCTAAAATCTGGGTTTCGATACCAGTGGTTGGCAGAGTACAAATAGCTTATTATGTAGCTTTGTGCTTAATTCCAAACAAACCAACCATTGACTACACACACACACACACATATATATATACAGCTCAGTAGCTAAGTCCTTGTACTGAACAACAGGCCTACTGTGCAGTGATTTATAGCGGATAAGAATAGGCCTGAAAAGTAATTTTAATATAGACACTATAAATAACAATATAAGCTAGACTCGCAGCGATTGCTATTTTCGTGGCGCGAAAATTGAACATACAGTTGGATGCCATTAATTTATAAATTACAGTGGTATTGGGTGTTAACGATGGTGGTGTTCATGTAAGTTTTTATTTTGTTTTTTAAATCAGTATAGTGCAACATTTAATTGTGCCGAAATGTTTGAAAAGGGTGTGAAAATAGGTTCTAATAGTATGTAAATGAAGTAGCCTACCACGCATATCAAAGTGGTCCTGTTACTATTAGACTATTGTTACGTCTCCGTTCGTTAATTAATTTTCCGTAAATTCGTTCCGACGAAACTTTAGAAACACAAGTCCTTTCTTAAATAAAACTGGTTTATTCTTTCCGAATACAACTTTACGATACACTTAATTTCAACAGTCGCTCTATAACAAACGCTCCCGTCTCACGTGGCCAACAATATTTTATCCGCATACATTCAATTACTCATTGTACTGTCATCCCGTCACGTTGTGAACGTCTTATATATACAAGACTAACAC